TATATGCAAACACATGGGGGTCACATCAGTGTTACCTTTACAAAGTAACCTTATCCACTAAAGGGGCATTTTTAAATCTGCATTAGCTTACAGAGGAAAGGCTAACTAAAACTGCGAATACCTGCATTGCGTGGGATGTAGAAACTAACACAACTAATAAATAATGTAAGATTCAACACAGTACAGAACATAATTTAAATGGCTGCATTATTTCTGTACAAGAGACTTGGGGTCAGAAGTGATTTCTACTACTTATTTAGGGTTTCTCTGAAGTATCAAATGAAATATTTGTCATAAAAAGAAATGTGAGAGAATGTGGGACTAATTTTCATCAGGTTTTTGTCTCTTAAACATTTAATCAGGTTTCAGTAGAGATTACACTTCTCTTTATGAGCACTTGCATTCACAGGGTGTATGTGTTTACAGAAGACAAATGGGTCTTACTGACATTGAAAGTTGCTACGTATGTAAAGCAGGAGTGAATGAATTTTGAACAGCTTCACAGAAGCTGATATTTGTAAAGAAAAGAAAGGAAAGGAGCAACAGTGAAAAATGCTGCTACTCCTACAAAACAGATGAGAATTTTATTTGTGTAGAAGCTCTTAAGGGAAGAATGAAAGCTATTATTTTCTTACATTTTTTCTCCTCAACAATAGAGATTACATGAGGTTACACTTCACTTAAAATAAGGAAAGCAAAGCAGTTTAGCACTGGCCATAACATGTAGGGTAATTCCCATGTGATTCTCTATTTCTGAACTGTTGGAAACATGGCTGATCTCAAGGCCAGAAGCAAAAATTGAAGGAAGTAGAAGCTCAGAAGCTTATGGATGCTACATGGCTGCAGTGAAATTGAAAATACACATCTGCGCATGACAGTTTCAGTACAGTCAAATAGTTGGGCCACATCTTCTGTTGTGAGGCGGCTCACAGTGAGGTGGAGCAGCAATGAGGAGAGCCTGTGTAACCTACTAGTGTATTCACAGCTTGCTTCTGATGAGCCATGGGGGCTAGAGAGAAGAATTTCTGCTGACACAGCAGTTTGTGAAGCTTCTTTGCATCATCAGGTATGGTTTTACCCTGAGAAAAAAATCCTGCAATTTTTAACCTATTTTTGTCACTAAGCACCAAAACGGTCTATTCTTGAGTCCATGATACCAGACTGGTGATGGTCTTATGGAGTATGCCTCAGGGAAAAGAAATCTTAGGGAGCAAAAGTAACAACTCCTATGAATTGATGCATTATATTATGGTGTTAGTGAAGAGCTAGTCATGGCAGAGTCATCTCATACTCAGTCACTGCTTGTTTGAATTATGTGGGTGACATCTTTTTGTTTTATTTTGAATGTGTCCCTGGTAACACAAAAGGAGCTATTTTTATTTCTCCTTGCTACTAAGCACATTGAAAAATGAACTCAAACGTGGCAGCCTTTCATGCCCTATTTTGCATGAAAGTACTGAGAATTCCTTGGGTGTATTTCTAGCTGTTCGAAAATGAAGGAAATTTTTGTTACACATAAAGTTTGTATTTTTGTGTAAAATTGATTTTCAAATGCAGGCATCTCCTATAGCATGGCTATTCTCAGTTTTGATCTCCTTTGACTTATGTGGCATTATTGAAGGCCGTAAGGATCACACTGAGGGAGAGGTTCTGCGGAGAGGAAGGTAAATAGAAGAGGAAAATGTCTCAGAGAAAACCATTCAGGTTAATAGCTATAGTTTGTGGAGCTCAGCATCACCTCTTGTAAAAGTAGACCTCATTTCAGAGCTCATTTGTTCTATTTAACACAGCCTGTTATGTTAGTATAATAACAGTACGGTAATGGACTGAATTTTATTTCCTGGATGAACTTGACATGGATCAGGGTTGCAAAAGGCTAATAGTTATGTCTCAGAGCCGAGGTCAAATGCTATCTAGTTCCAGTGTCTTCTCAGTGCTATCTCATGGGCTGTTTTGCAAATCCACAAAAAATAACCAGCATCAGGATTTCTGAGCCCAGGTGATAATGCATGCACTCAGATACTGAGCATATCTCATGACCTCTCCTTGTTATCTGTTTGCCCACTTTGCTGATGAGATGCATTCATCCCAACCCCCTGAGTTTCTTGGACTACAAACCCTTCATTTTTTATTCCTAGAGATGTATTGCTATAGCGTGGCTTCTCTGTGCGTATCAGGATTGCTGGGAGCAGAGTGCTTGTACCTCATTTGTGCTTGTGCAGCCACTTGTCTGTCCCTGGACTCACCGTTGTGAGTGGCCAATGCACACCACCGCAGCTCTAGTGTTATACTGCATAATTAGTTTGAAACTTAACATCTTCCAGCTTCTTCTTATTTGATCTGCTGTATGTTATGAATGATTTAACTGCTGTGATTTTTTTTTTTTTTTACTTCTGCTGATGGCCTCTGAACTATTAGTCCCAAGATAAAAGGGCTACTTGCACTGACTTTTCTGTTAATTGTGCCTATTATGGGACTGCTGTAAGACAAAGTTATGACTGTTATGATTTTTGTCCTTCTAAAGGTGAATACCACAAATAAGTAATGCAGAACAGTGTAATAGGCTTGTGCTACAGAAATGGTGTATTGTTTTTCTCATGATTGGAAAACCTGGCAATGGCATTGAGCCCAGATTTTCTGCGTCAAAGCTCAAACCCTTTACTTTGCAGAACAGTCTCTTCTATATTCAGTGCTGGCTTACTCCTCTTTGGTGTGCTGGGCTGTGGGCAGAGGTTTGTATCTTCACTCTGCCACCTACCCTGAGGGGCTGCTGTTCACAGGCAGATAGGTTGGTTTTCTCTCTTTCCTCCTGTAGCTACTATTTTTCCGTATGTATTTGCATTTTCTGCTGTGCATTGGCTGCCAGCCTCACAGAACAGCGAGTGAATCTGGCATCAACAGAGTGCAGGAAGGAACTGTATTAGATTCAACTTTGCTTAATGGTGCAAGTCCCACTGGGTTTTGAGCAGTGTTGGGTAGGTGAGGAAGAAAGATTTGATTTTAATGAGAGATGACTTGGCACTAGCATCATAACAGGTGCAGTATGAGAGTCCAGGAGTGAAAGAGTTAATTCATATTCTGTTCACAGAGATAGCTGTGAAAGAGCATATGCTGAATGTGCATTCCAGTTTCATTTTTTTGTTCTTATTTACACTGACAAATAATATATTTCCCTTTAGCTTTGAGTGCTTCATAAACGTGGAGCTGATGATGAATATGCAGTTTACACTCCAAAGGCACTGGAATCAGTGCAAGAAGGCAGAGCTTGGTGTGGTTCACAGCACACTGTGACCTCCGCTGTGATTATTAATCATTCAGGCTTTCAGGGGCACATCCACCATCCTAGATATAGCACTTGCTTACTCCTCTGTCTTTATCCCTGATAAATGTGGTGTCTGAACCTCTGGGAAACACAGTGTAGATGTGACTTCTCTCAAGGGATGCTGAGTTCTGTTTGCTCTGAATTCAAGGTTTAAAAGGGCTTGGTACACTCCTCAGTGGGTTCTTAATTTGAGTCGTAGTGTTTTGTTACATGCAGCCTGGTGTGGAAACTTACCTGGTGCTTAACAAGATCTCATCAGTCTCCTGGAGAGCCAAGATGGGCAGTTTTGGGGGAAGTGGTCTGGTTACAAGTCTGGAAATCATGAGTGGAGTTGTGGGGTGTGTACGTCTTATCAGCACGTGGTGTTCTGTTATAAAACAATTTGCTCAGAGGAAAGGAATTGCTTTGAGGAATGGGAAGAGATTTGGGACTTTGAACAGGCTATAGGGTAATTCTGTATTACAGCAGTCTACCTTTCACAGAGCTGTGGTTGCCCAAGATTGTGTTGTACATGAACAGAGCAAGAGAGTGGCTTTTAAATTCCCTTGGGCTTCTTATGAACATAATAGGAGATAAATGTGCAACCATACTGAAGCAATGCTGTTTATCTGATCAGAAAGTCATCCTAGTTCCAGGCATTACAAAATAGCAATAATTTTGTTCAAGTGAACAAATTTGCAGCTTTTCTAGTATAAGTGATATGAAATAGGCATCATCATTCTATTGACCTATCAGCACAAACATGACCATTGTGCATAGCTGTTTCTTAGCCAGCTTCATAGGGCTTTTCTACAGAGAATGAAAAGTAAGAGAAGTATTCATTACTATACTTTGTCACTCTCTGCACAACTGTAATCTTTAAGCCACTAGAGCCTATAGTTCCTGAAATTGTCTTTCTGGCAGATGGAGGGGTATTTTGTCTTTGGAGGAGGTTACTGAGAAATAAGTCATGTGTTTACCACATGCTTGAACCACCATGGTGTCTTGCTGTCACAGTGAAAACATCACTGAGCAAGATGAGGGTAGCTGTGTGCAGTTTTCCTTGGTGCAGTAAATAAAATCTTTTCATTACCCAAAGATAGACAGGAGAGAGACTAGTGAATCTGCCTGGCTTGAGTCCATGTTTCCAAACCACTCATGTCTTCCTAACAGAATTTCTGTATGGGAGGTTTGGTACATGTGCTGGAGGTCTATTCAAGTCTTTTACTGCCTTATGGCTCATGGGCACAATCGGAAAAGAGTTGCAGTCCCAAGAGCTAAAACCTCCATTACTCTGTCTAAGAGAATTACATTGACCATGACTGGCCACAAACACACTAGTGGAACTTCTCTGTTCATCAGAACCTGCTGCATAGCTTCATGGATTCATCCTTCTTGCCAGCTTTGGAGTCTGCTGTGGTTATGAACGCCGCTTGTGCCTTGAGAGGAATGTGATGAGTGGAGGTGTTGAATTCTCCTGATACTGACCAGGGTGGAGGAACACTAGGTGGACCAGGGAGGGAGGTTATACTGACGCTCTATATGATGTACCTCATTTAGAGCCAAGCAGAATTTAAGCTTTAAGGGTTGTCAGCCAGTCACTTATAAAAACTTCTTGAATTCTCCTTAAATAAAGATAAAAAATGTTTTTTAGAGAAGCCTTAAGATAAATACTTATTTTGTGTATTTTTGTTTTCAGGATGAATAAGAGATACTTACAGAAAGCAACGAAAGGAAAACTGCTAATAATAATATTTGTTGTAACACTGTGGGGGAAATTAGCATCTGGGGCAAATCATCATAAAGGTAAGAAACTCTGTTCTGTTCTATTATGATGCTATATCTGTCACCTCTGTCAACAAATTCAGAAATGCCCAGTATATGTGATCTTTCTTCCTTATGCCTATTTGTGTCTCCTGGTATTGGTCCACTAATCAGTGCCAAAGGAGGAGAGTTTTCAGTAAATAGACTTTTATTAATTTCTTGAGAATTTAAGTATTTCATTCCCATTTTCATAATTCTCTAATTTTAGGTCATTTTTTAATGATAGTACAGTTGAAAAAATGGTAAAAAAAGATAGTCAAGTAACAACATCAAATAACGAGTACTGATTGTCTCATAAAAATAGATATATCAGGTAGCACATATGTGTGCTACAAATGGATTCTCGGAATGAACCTTAGAAAGAAATAATTTTTAGTAACTGTGTGCTGCTACTGTGTGCTCTTATCTGTCAAGGCTAACTTAACTGCTAATGTGTGCTGAATGTGATTATTTCATCACCAAAAAAAGACCGTTGTTTTGCAGTGTTGTCTGTCTTCTATGCTTCATTCCTAACACCAGACCAGGAACTTTAGTAGCTTGTGACAATGTGAATTTATTTCCTCTTGGTCATTCCAGCCCTTAAAATGTATACACACAAGCAGAAGCTGTGATGTTTTATTGAAGCTTGTAAAAAGGTCCCTGTTTTGTGTGTGTGTTTTTGTAAACCCCTAACGCAAAGAACAAGCTCTCTAGATTCATGTACTGATATCTTCTTATAGGCTAATATAATTTGAAATGTGATCTGCAGTATAATACGATTTTGGAGTCCACTTCTCAACTTCATATAGTGTCTGTTGGCTGTTTATCTGCTTATTCAAGATCAGAATAATCTCTAACAACTTGGATAAAGTAAGGGTGGGACATGAACATTGGTGAGAGCTACAGAGTTAAATACTGGAGAAAGATTCCAATAACACCAGTCAGTTCATCTCTCGATAGTCATGTACATTTTATTATGTTCCCTCTGATGATAAGATTTCATGAGCAGGTATTTTATATAACTAGCTGCTAGATATTTTTCTGCTCTGTGAAGATACCTTTCTTCAAAATACCTCACTGATTAAGGACTTCAGGATGCAGAGGCACTTTCTGCAAAGTCTTTTGTGAGTTGAAATTTGGCTGCAGACAAAACAGATTCTGATGTGGTCCTGCAGGCCACCAAAGATGGGCATCATGCCAGATAGGAACCCTGCTGACACCTTTTGCTTAGCCTTTGTTTCCCCTTCGAACCAGAATATGATTTGTGCTGTGGTTTACCAGTTTAGACTATTGGAAAAGAGCCAAGATATTCTAGCCTGGATTCAGAATTCTTTTGTTTTTGAGTATATTTCTTTAAAAATCAGAAAGCCTGTCTCCAGATCATTTTGATTCCATCCATGAAAGCTGGTCAAGATGTGTTTGCCTCCATCCAAATCAACCTTTGCCAAAGTATGCTTACTACAGTTTCTGAAAAAAATTATGAGTAAAACCTGTCACCAGGTATTTTATGGAAACAAATTATAATCCTAAGGACTTCCTGGGGAATTAGGGCTTCATAACTGAGAATCAAATGATCCCCCACCAATTTTAGCTTTCCAGATATATTCATGCAAGAGAAATCCCAGTAGAGCTATACCATTAATTATCTGGAGAGTATGTGACATTTGAGGCCCAGCCTTAGAGCAGAAACAACTTGAGAAATATTGAATTTGATGGTTTTAGATTGAAAAAAAAAAAAAAAAAAAAAGCGTGTGAGCCCCCTGCAAAATCAGGTTATTAGCTGTAGGGATTTCTTTACATTCCTGCAAGTTAACAAAAAGCTTTGGTTCTTTTTCTTTAAGTTGTAACTTTTCACCCCTTTAGCAAAATATATGAAGTTTTACAGGGAACAATAATAAGGAGCAGCATGACTTGAGTGTTTAATATAGAAAAGCAACTACTTGTGCATGTTCAGGTTTTTGTGGAAGAAAAAATATTCAGAAGGATTTTTGTTTGTGGATTTAGTAGATCTGTAAATCATCTGCACTCACTGTATATAGGGGGTTATTTTAAAAAGTACAAATCAGAATTACACAGCTCAGCTGCCACTGATTTCCAAAGAAACTAGGAGTTTAACTTCCCATTGTGTCAGAGAAAATCTTCCCCCTACTCTAATAGCAGAAATGAAGCTAAGGTGCAGTCAATACACTGTTCACCTTTTCATGGAGTTTCCAGATACTGAGAAATATGCGATTTTTTTTGGTGATAATTATCTCTAGCATCATTAATCTTCATTTACAGAAGTCCTCGCTAAGCTATTAACATGACAAACCCTCATGACTTTGAAGAAGCCCTTACAATTTCAAAGATCAATAATCTACATTTTTAAAAATTTTTACTTTCCTATTGAATTAGTCATATTATGCATCAGTTGCACCAACTCTTTAACCCATCTCTTTATCTGAAGGCTATTGTAAAAGAAAAGAAAAAGAAGAAAAGTTCATCAGTGTATAAAATTGTTTAATGAGCGTTTTGCTCTCCAGACAGACTTCAGCAGGAATATAAACAGCTGACTCTGACAGGCTGTCTCTAGGCTTGTTGCATTTATTTCAAGGATGTGGCACAAATGAGAAATCCCAAGTCAGCAGCGAGAAAAATAGAGGCCAAGGCAGGGCATTGAGATCCAGTTGAGCAACCACCAAGGCTACAAACTGGGATTTCAGATTATAGTTTTTCAGTGTCAGGTGTGTGGGTTCCAAGTACATCCTTCTTTCTATTGAAAGACTGCTTTGAAGACAATTCTGGTCCCTTTATCTTAGCTGATTGTTAAAGTTTCATCAGTCTGGACAGAAAGTCCAAGAGCTAAAAGAGATATACACGCTGTTAAAACAGAAATCTCACTTTTTTGTTACACACAGAATGATGAGTTCTCCTGCATAGTTCCTGGGTGTGCACATACTTACATTCCATTTATCCTGTCTTCTGGAAAGAAACAGGAGCTCTACCTTTTCTTTCACATTTTGCTGGGGACCCTGATACTATGGTAATGTGTGCCTTACCTGAGCACATGCAGCTGTGAATGAGCCCAAAGTACCAGATCCATTTGTGCTGCAGTAGCTATGTATGAGAATACAAAGTGTGGGATATCAATCTCCAAAAGGACGTTGTCAAGGTTATGAGTCTAAAAACTGATATAGCTTGAGGGTGGCTGAAAGAAATCCATAAGGTTATTCTAAGATTGATCCTGATCCTCCTACTCATTGCTAGCCCTTGGAAAACAAATAAACCTGTGCAAACATATAGTGTTCACTGACAGATATGGCAGGCAGGCGTCAGTTCAGCATCACTGCCTGTTTGCTATTTCTGTCACAGAGAACATGAATCCATTTGGTGACCATTGTACTACAGTCCATGTTTAAGGTTTCAACTGTTGGACTGGTCCTTTTAAGAAAGCCCCTTACAAGCACTTCTTTGTAGACAAAAGGCTGCCATGAGACACAGTTTTTACCCTAAAACTGAAAACTCTTTCAAAATTTGGATTTCTTTGAGCTGGTTGTGATTACTAAGTCTTTTTACATTGATAACACAGTAAGGTAATCTAAATAAATTATGGGTGCTTTTGAACTGAGGATAGTTTAATATTGCTCAAAATACAAACCAATAAACTTTAGATTAAATTTTAAATCCCTGAACAAAATAAAAAGCTACCTTAAATAAGGCTAATGATGAATGTTTTCTTGCTGGAAGGAATTTGTTATGGAACCAGAAAACAATCCAGGTAGATAAAGTCATTGAAGTATTTTTGGACTTAATAGATGAAAAGGCATGATAATTTATTTTCATTTAAAATATTTCCCTCAGAAACTGAACTTATTCATCTGATGCCATTAGTTAAAATAAGCTAAACTTTTTATCATTTGTGATGCAGAATTGCTGCTCCTACTTGTCTCTGACTTCGCACCTGTTAGAACTCTGAGAGAATGTCTCACTGTTCACAAGGAGAAAATGAATCTTGGTTTCTCCTTGCAGAGGTGTAGTTATTCTGAAGCCCAGCTGAATGAAGAAGCCACTGAGCTGCTAAAGCTGCTGGTTAGGTTACCATTCCTCGGTCAGTCTGCCTTTCTCAGCAGCCTTCCTGGGGCAGAAACACATCTGGCACCATTGTTGTGATGTAGGATGCAGCCTGTGCCACATGTGTGCCTGGAATTTGTGAACAGGTGTGACTATGAGAAGCAAGAAACCCAGTTGTAGCAGTGGCATGCTTTCAGGTGGTACTGATGTGTTTACATCCATGGCTGGATTTTCATTAGCAGGTCATCCTCTTCCCTGTTCACCAGGTCTCTTATTTTGTGAAAAGAATACAAATAAAATGTGCAGGACAGTCCTGGAAAGCCTAAGGAACTGTCTGAAGATTTTAAGTCTTTGTGGAACTGAATTAGAAATGCAGCTTAATTGTAATCATTGACCCCCAATATCTTATTTTCTTCGCATAACTCATCATTTCTGTTTGCACTGGAAGAACTTTAAAGTCTTATGTCTAGATTTGTCAGGTTTTCTATCAGTAAAATGAACCAAAAGGTGGACAGGTCTGAACAGGGCTCCATATAGTCTAACATACATCTGACGTGTGTATCTTTGAGAATTTAAACTTTTTTTAGGGGAAGAAATCTCACAGTAATGAACAAATTTAATAAAATGGGATACTATAGTTCAGTATGGGCAGTAGTATGCCTGGTTGTGGAGAGTCAGTGGAAGGACTGGTAGCCCTTGCAGACAGACGGGGAGGTGTAAGTTTGTTCTCTTGGCTTCTGGCATTCACCGGGGCTGTCTTAGCAAGTGCAGTGATGCTAATGCTGCACTGAATCAGCATGTGACAGGCTCCTGGCTCTGCCTGACCCCTGGGCTGTGGAACTGATTTATTCTGAGAAGAGATAATATAGCACTTTGTTAAAAGCTATGGTAATGGCCTGTGTGCATTGCCTCAATGCCCTTATGCCTATTTCATGCACAAGGGGTGAAATCCA